CCAGGCTTACTCATCTGGGGAATTGAGTGGAAATCAAAGGTATGGGCCACCCAGAGGGCCGAAGCACTGGGCCCACTGATGTGAGGGAGGAGGTTACAAGAGGCAAGGAGGTCGCGATTGTGTTGGGCCGGGGACACCACACAAGAGCAGGCAATACTGTATGAAAGTGGATTGAGGCTGCTGGAGTCTTTGTTTGGATGTGGGAAAGTTGACTTAGGCTTAGGCTGACCAGAGAGACCCAGAATGCAGGATATATAGGTCAGTGGCAAGAAGCTTACCTAACTTTCAGGAATCCCAACATTCCATCCCCAATACCCCAACAAAACAAAAACCGAGAAGAGGCCAATTATGCCTCCCTCAGGCTCCTCCACCTCAGTTTCCATAAGGAAACTGGGTGACACCCAGGAATCTCATCCCCGAAGGTAGGTGACCACAAGGGCCCCCAACAGACACAGGGAGAGTGATTCGTTATTTAACCCACTTACCAGTCACCTACTTCTAGGATTCTTCCCTTGTTTTCACCAGAAACTCTGGAGAGGGAGGCCTGGCCCGCTCCAGACAATAATGAAGGGCTGTTTACAGCATGGTTCAGGGCCACATAAGCAGGGACCATCGAGATCTGAGTGGTATATAGACTAAGGGCAAAATTTAAATCTGGTGTAAATAAATAATTAACACCTCTGACATACAAAAGAGATCATCATCGTCATCATTTATTTACTGGATTGAGTAGTTAAATTACCCTGTGCTACACCTTTTGAGTCTTGCCGCTGAGGAGGTGGCTCAGCCATTATGAACATTTGACAGCTCTTCCACAGGATCTAGGTTCAATTCCCAGCACCTGCATGTTGGCTCACAACTGCCTGTAACTCCACACAGACATACATGCAGGCAAAACCCAAACATTTAAAAAATTATAATAAAAGTTTTTTTCTTTTTCAGATTTTCCTGTCCTTTCTGCCTTGATTCATTGAATACTTGCCATCAATGACAGCAGACAAGTCAGGCCTGTGGCAACAAGTAGCCAAAGTATTAATGAATATCAGGTAGCACTGTGAGGTCTGACCACACAATTGCTGAGATGTCTACCATACCACTGACCCCTGGCAGGGACAGTGTGCTCCTCTTGTGTCCTGGAGAGGGATAAATGTTGCTACTGGGGTTAGAGAGATAGATAGCTCAGTAGGTAAAATGGTTGTGATGAAGGGAAACTGGAAGTGATGGACTGATATTATAAAGGATTTTCCAGTAAACATTCTTAGAAAAAATTAATAGCACAAAGTGTAATTTGGAGCTGGAAGCTCAAAGTGATTTCCAGGTAACTTCAAGTGTGAGATGACCTAGCTTAAAAATCTATGTTAGCTGCAAAGAATTTCTGTTCAAGGCCAGTTTCTCTTTGGAGTTAAGCCAGAACAAGATGCACACAATTGTGAAAAAGGGTTTTATTCATCATTATTCTTCACTGTTTGAAGAAAAATCTCACAGACTGCCTCAGTCACTGTGTAGGTCTGGGAACCAAAGGACCTGAGTTCAATCCCCAGCACAATTCTATGAAAGTGAACTCTGGGGAAGCACTGGATTTATTGGGCTTCCTGACAGAGCATGGATGAGGGGTGATTTAGTGGCATGTAGGTGCTCCCCTCACCAAAAGGCTGCACTGGAAAGCCTTACCCAATGGGAATGGCGGCTTTCCTACAGCCCTTAGATGGAGACCTCTCCCCTAGTCCTTCCCTCCCTATCGCCTCTAATCCCTTCCTGAGGCCAGATTAAGGCAGAGTTGCAGACTCAGCTGAGGATCACATGACTGTCTTTGTACCTCTATGAGGGGATGTAGACAGTCACAAAGTCCTACAGCTAGAGTGATCTTTTGCAACTGAGTGTGACTGAACTCCTGAAGATGGCAGTTGTTTGATGGAGTTATATATAACAGACCCAGCATAGATGGAGCATAGACTGATTACTTACCCAATATTTTTTGTTTGTTTTGGTTTTTTGTGTTTTCCCAGTATTATGTAACAGATTAGGTTCTGCTTTCATATTAAAAGGTAGGTTTTTTTTTTTTTTTTGAGACGATTTCTCTGTGTAACTTGGAGGCTGTCCTGGAATTCGCTCTGTAGACCAGGCTGGCCTCTAACTCACAGAGATCCTCCTGCTCTGCCTCCCAAGTGGTGGAATTAAAGGTGTGTGCCACTGGCACCTGGCATTAAAAGATAGTATTTTAACACCAAAATCTAGTTACTTTACAAGACTCCCATAAAGAGCCAAGTGCTTTAAATCTCAATACTTAAAAGAGGTTCTTCATTGTCTTTAAATTTGGTATGTATTTATGTGTATTAAATGTGAGAAAATACAGGACAACTTCCATCATGTGGTTCTAGTGATCAAACTCTGGTCATCAGACCCAGTGGCAAGTGCCTGAACCCACTGAGCCATCTCACCAGGCCCCAAACTTACGATCATTTTATTTTTACTTATTCATTTTATTGAGAAGGGACTCATGTAACCCAGACTAGCCTTGAACTCTTTGATCCTCCTGCTACCAACTTTCAAGTGGTAAGATCACAGGATCAATGATGTCAAGCTGTATTGATGTTTTTACCAGGAGGTAATGCCTCAATTATTCTGCCATGCCTACCCAGCCAGCCTAACTAATAACAGCGAGTTCTCAAAACATTAAAAAATGCTTGTTAATATATCAAATACCACAGAATTGAAATGTTCCCTCTTGGAAGGAGGGCTGCTGCTGAAGCTTAGTGTCTTAGTTAAATTTCTATTGCTGTGAAGAGACACAATGACCACAATAATTCTTATAAAGGAAAACATGGAATTGAGGTGGCAGCTTACAGTCCATTGTCATCACAGTAGGGAACATGGTAGCCTGCAGACAGACATGGTGGTGGCTGCATCTTGATCAGAAGGCAACAGGTAGTGGTCTGTCTCATTGGGAGTAGCTTGAGCATATATGACACCTCAAAACCCATCTCCACAGTGACACACTTCGTCCAACAAGGTCACCTGTATGCCAACAAAATCACACTTCCTAATAATGTCACTCTCCATGATCTTGTGAGGGGCAATTACATTCAAACTACAACACTCAGGAAGTAAACAAAACTTACAGGTTCCAGAAATTTGAAATTTACAAGATTCACAGTGCTTCTGCCAAGGTTACTCAAATCCCATTGCTCATTCACAGTGAGATGCCCCTTTCCCAGGTTATACAAGGCCCCTTTGTGCCTTCTCTCAGAGCCGGAAGATTCTCCTATTAAGCTGCCTGCAAGTCCTGTACAGGCTTTCAGGGATGCAGATTTCCTGAGTCTTCAGCCTTGCTGGCATGGGCTTTTTTGGTGATGCAGTTGCCTTTGTGTGGTTCATGTTCTATTAGTAACTCCAGGAAACTCATTGGTTCATTATGCTAGACTTGGGTAGGACAGTTTCTGTGGTCCTTTAGTCATGTCTCCCTAGGAAGAGTGACACAATTGGGGGTTAGTAGTAAAACCTTTGTTTAAATGTGGTTTCACAAATTCAAGGATGCTCAAATCTGTCCATACCTAACAAGTATGGACAAACCTGAGCAGAAATTCTAGTAAGAGATTACATGAATCTCAGAAGAGATTTTGAACTTTTAAACATTTTTAAGACTGTGATACACTATGAGGACTTTTGAAGTTGGACTAAATGCATTTTGCAGCATGATATTGTCACAAGCTATGGGGGCCAAGGAGTGGAATGTGGTAATTTGAATGTAATTGTATCCCCTCATAAACTCATAGAGAGTGGCACTATTAGGAGGTGTGGCTTTGCTGAAGTAGTTATGGCCTTGTTAGAGGAAGTGTGTTACGGTGGGGGCGGGGTTTGAGGGCTCCTATGCCCAGGTTATACTCAGTGTTTAGTTCACTTCCTGTTGCCTGTGGATCAAAGATGTAGAATTCTCAGCTCCTTTTCCAACACCATATCCTGCCATGTCCTGTCATGATGATAATGGACTAAACCCCTGAAAATTTAAGCTTCCCAATTAACTGTTATATTTATGAGTTGCTGTGGTCATGGTGTCTCTTCACAGCAACAGAAACTCTAAGACAGAAGTTGGTACTGGGAGTGCACACAACCAGTGCAGATATAAGCTGTCTCTCCCAGATAATTGCAGCCCAAACAGAGCTATTGTTTCCCCCAGAAGAAGTTATTCACTCAACTTATCCCCCTGAATGATAAATTTTTAAAACATGAGTATGCTTCTAGAACCTGGCAAAGCACCACCTTAGGGCTGTGTACCTGTTTCACTTCCTGTTAAAAACCTCAGCCTGCAGGACAGCTCTGATAATCTGCCTCCCAGAAATTCCATTCCAACAAAACCTTAGATACCAGAGTCCCCTTAAAATTGTGCAGAGGGGGCTGCATTCTAAGTGTATGTAGACTTCATAAGCACAGGTGGGGAAAGACTAGCTCAAACCTGAATAGAGGGAGCATGGGAAATAAGTCCCCTTATGTTGTGGGGACCTGAAGCCCCTGGTGGAGTCGTAGCAAGAGCACTAAGACCCTTGCGGGTGGAGGACAGAGACTTGGATGTTAGTTCAGTGTTTTGAAGCTGAACGTTTTGTTTGCCTGACTATACCTCTGCAGAGTCAAGCAAGGATATAAGAAACAGCAAGGAATGAAAGATTGAAATCAAGCTGTTGCCAGAGCAACGGAATGGGCTGGGTGGGGGACAGCGACTAAGTTCGGTCACCATAGAGTTTGCTGCGTAGGCTGGACATCAACATTCCTGGACACACGCTCCAGGATGCGACAGTCGAGGTCCGGAGGGAACCTTCAGATACAGGTTGGCCACAATGCTTCTGATCTCTAATCCTGCCTGTTCTGAACCTTATAAATCGAAGACACATTCTTGAACCTAGAGTGTAGTTCTCCAGAATTTTCGGGGTAAGGAAGGGGGGAGTAGCTGAGTTGAGGGAGCGGGTGGGGCACGATGGTCTCCTGAGTCCTGTTGGTCCCCATATCAAGCCATGGCGCCCAAGAAGAAACGTGGGCCAAGTGCCGGGCGCAAGCAGGCGGGCGACAGTGCAGAGGGCCTGCTCTCCGAGCGGGCGCAGTATCTGCAGCGCGAGTACTCGCTACTCTCAGAGAAACTGGTGACCTGTGAGCAGCGGGTAGATCAGGTGCTGCAGAACAATGCGTTCCTGGACCGCGAGGCACAGCGCTTGCGCGAAGAAAACCGGCTTTACGCCAGTTATGTGAATGCACACGCGCAGCGCTGCGCCAACACCATCGTGCGTCTCGAGGACCAGAACCGCATGGACCTGGCACAGATCCGGTGGCAACGAGCTGAGCTGGCGTCGCTTTACCACGGGCGCGAGGATGGAGTGCGTGCACAGCTACTGGAAATGAAGATGCGCGCTGAAAACATGACACAGCAGGTGCAGGAGCTGCAGCCCTACAAGGCCAGTGCTCGCGCTTCCGGGGACCGGGTGGGGTCGAGAGGGGTGGGCGCGCTCCCACCCATGCGCTGATCCATGCTCCCGCTGCAGGAACTGCAGCTGGAGCAGCTGGCGCGAATCCGGACCCTGGAGCGCGAGCTCCTGCACATGCGCGTGGAGCATACGCAGCTCCTCCACCGGGTGAAGCGACGCTTCCTGGATGACAAGGCTGCTTTTGAGCGTGAGGCACGCCTGCACGTGCAGTCCCTGACGCGCCGCTCAGAACGGGAGGCGGCCCGTGCCCTCATTTCTCACACACAGGCCATCAAGGCGGACAACGGGCGTCTCCGACATGAACTCCTGAGACTTCTCCACCGAGCCCACTTACTGCAGGATATGAGACAACAGCTGCTAGAGCAGCGAGAGCAGCTGCGCGGGGAGCACAATGACATGCGGAACCTGGAACGCGTTCATGGCTGGCTGCACAGGGGACTCGGGGGGCCACCACTTTGGCAGCCGCCCCAAACTCACCAGTCCAACCTGCGCATTGGGTCACTTGATACCCTATCGGAATCATCCTACACAACTTTAAGTGCCCAGGCTCTGGCCCAATCACATGCGACCTCCCGGGCCTCATCAGTGGTCCAGTCACACCGAATCTCCCAGACTCCTTCTGTAATGTCCCAGGAGTCTTCTCTTGTCCCATCTCTAAAGGCTGGGTCTGTGATTGCTCCCCTTACTCCATCACATCCGGGATCCCGAGTCCCATCTCTGACTATCTCGCACCGGGGCTCTGGGATATCGTCCCTGACCCAGTCACGAATGGACTCCAGGGTTACATCCCTGACTGTATCGTCCAATACTTCTGTCTTGCTACCGCGATCACGCGAGGGCTCTCGGATCTCTCCACAACCCTCCTTGCGTGAGTTCTCTCAAGACACTGACACCTCTGCAAAGTCTAGCTCCAAGCTTCTCTCAGTTCTGTCTCAGGATCGAGTCCCTCTCAACCCACAACTGGAGGAGACAGCAAACACTGAAGATGCCACAGAAGTTGCCTTGGGGCAAGCCTGAACTCACAGTGGAGGGGGGGGGCAGGGAGGGAAGCGGGGAGGAGGAGGCCAGTAGGGCCACGGGGTGGGAGAAATAACCCTGAAAGCTTTCTTGGTACATAAAGTTGTTAATAAAAGTGTAAAATAAACCCCATGATGCTCTGGCACCTGCCTGTTTTGCTGCCCATGTATTTCAGGTGTGCAGAGGCCTGCAATCCAAGCTATGAAGGAGCTGATGTCTCCTTGTTTGGTAGAATTCGATGTCCTTCCACCAACAACCAACCTGGGTAGGGAGCCAGCAAGCTTGGGCTGTGTTCAGGTAAGTTTGGTAGAGTAATTTCAAGGGAACTTCTGCAAAAGAGAACAGATTATGTCATCACCTCAATCATTTAAAATATGTTATTTTCCAATTTAGGGAAGACCACAAGAATTATCTGGGAATTCCCATTGCCACACATTTGGATGAACAGGGATGTGGGCTGTTTGGTTCTTTGAGTCATCTGGGATTCTGCTGGAGACAGTTTTCCTCTTTTTTTTTAGGGGGTGGGTATTTGGAGACAGGGTTTCTCTGTGTAGCTTTGTACACCAGGCTGTCCTCGAACTCAGAGATCCGCCTGCCTTTGCCTCCTGAGTGCTGGGATTAAAGGTGTGCACCACTGCCCAACTTTAGTTATGTCTCTTAATTTTAAACATATCCCTTTGTGTTTACTAGATAGAACTTTGACCTCTTTCTTCTGTGCAGGGGTTGAGCCAGGGCCACCTTTGTGATAAACAAACCTGAGTCACGTCCCAGCCCTGTCTAATACTTCTTCAAGACACATCAAAATTAGAAAATTCACCTTGAAGAAAATACTGTCAACAAAATCGTACTGGCCAATCAGAATTTGTCACTTGTCCCAGTGGTGTCTGTAGCCAGCTATGCTCATTTTCTGTCACATCTTGCAATCCATTGTTCTTTATATTTGTTCATTTTTTTGTTGTTTTGTTTTGAGACAGGACCTCTCTATGTAGATTAGGCTGGGTTGAACTCAGAGATCCTCTTGCCTCTGCTTCCCGAATGCTAGGGTTAAAGGCATGTTCCACCACCTCCTGGCAATAAAACTGTATCTAAAAAAAAATTAAGGGTTGGAGAGATGGTTCAACAGTTAAAAGCACTGATTGCTCTTCCATAGGTCCTGAGTTCAATTCCCAGCACCCGCATGGTAGCTCACAGCCAAATACAATGGGATTTGATGCCTTCTTTTGGTGTGCACATGTACATGCAGACAAAGCACCATAAACATAACATACATACATACATATCATGCCTAGTGCCTGCAGAGGTCAAAGGGGGTAGCTGATCCCAGGAACTGGAATGAGCCCAGGTGTGGATTTGGGGAACAAAACCTGGGTGCTCAGCAAGAGCAAGTGCTTATCTTGGTGTCATCAATCCAGCTCCCTACATATAGTCTTGTAAGATCTAACAGTCAAGTTCTAGGACCTACAGACTTACTGAGCATATAGGCTACAAGGGAACATGCCCTACTGTTGAAGAACAGCCTTGTAACCTCTCCTCTGTCAGATCCAACATCAGCCACTGAAATCTAACTTGTATGTGCTGTGTATGTTCAAATGCAAGTTTGCATACATATGTGTGTGCTTGTTTAGGCCAGAGCCCAACATCATTGTGTCTTCCTTGAGCACTCAGCTATATTAATGAAACAGGGTTTCTTGCTAAACCTAGGCTAGTCAAGCTTGTCCCATCAGTCCTGTCTCAACCTTCCAAACTAGATTATGGGTGGGCCACATGCTCATGCAACCCTTCATGTGAGTAGTATTCAAACTTGGGCCCTCATGCTTGCACAGCCAGGGTTTCAAACAACAAGCCATCACCCACACCTCAGATACTGCAAATACAGTTTGAAATGCTGCTAAATATTATGCCTGTCATCTGAACTGACTGCCCAGACACCCTCACAAAATCAAGCTTGTAAATGGAATTCTTAATTGGTCTAAATAATAAAAACACAGAGTAAGATATAAAAGAAAATGCTGAGAGATCCAAGAGAAGGAGCAAACCAAAGCCACTTTTACCTCCTTAGCTTCTCAGCACAAAAGAGAATGAGTTCCTGTTTCCTCCCACATACATCCTCTCTCATCCTAGCCATCACACTTCCTGTCTGTCTGTACAGACCTCCACACCTCTATGGTTAGCTAGTAGCAAACTTCACCCTCTGATCTTCAGACAGGCTTTATTTGTACAAGGAGATATCACCCACAAGCCTATTAACATTCCTTCTAAATGGGGTGGGTTATCAGCCACATCTAAGATATGGCTACTCCCTACTGCCCCAGCTGCAAGCTGACTCCAGAAGTGCTAGAGTATAAAGGTGGGGTGTTAACTGAAGGTGGGACTTAGCGTGAAGCTTTTTCATTATGCAGTTGCTATAAAATAGGTTAAATAAATATTGGTTCACTAGGCTGGACTTGAATGGTTGCTTTCATCTTTCAGTGGTTGCTGATGTCCAGTGGGGTGATTTGGGTGCTTGGTCCCCAGTTGGTGGTGCTGTTTGCTTGCTAGAGGAAGTGTGCACTGGAGGCATGCTTTTCCATGAGTAGCCTTTGCATAGTGATCACAGTTGAGGATGTGAGTTCTCAGCTTCCTGCTTCTGCTGCCATGCTTCCTAGACATGATGGGCTCTTACTACTATGTCCACTCAAAATACACTCTTCCTTTCATGGTTTGATTTTAAAAACACAGCAACAAAAAAAAGTATTTAATACAGCTTCCCAGAAAAAGTCACAAACCACTCAGCTACATTTTCACATTTTAAGTACCTCTGGTAGTGGTGGCACAAGCACTTAGGAGGCAGAGGCAGGCAGATACCTGTGAGTTTGAGGTCAGCTAGATCTACAGAGCGAATTCCAGGACAGCCAGGGCTACACAGAGAATCCTTGTCTTGAAAAACAAAAACAAAAAACAAAAAAACAAAAGTATGGTTTCTCCTCTTGTTTTGTATGGGGTTTTGCAGTTTTCCACATGCCTGTGGACTGAGGAAGCATGGGGGCTGTGATGGACATGGGACAGTGAGCAGACAGCAATAGTTAGAAACAGCTTCAGGACAATGCAGCTGGCTATGGTGGTGCAGGTTTTGATCCCAACACTTTGAAGGCTGAGGAGGCAAAAGGATCAAGTTCAAGACCAGCCTGGTCTACATAGTTAGACACTATCTCAAACAAGCAAAACAAAATGGCATTGTAGTTGTAGATAGGGTAGAGTGTGTGGGAGACATGGGGGTGCCGTGTCTCCCCTCTAATGAGGATCCCCTCTAGTGAGGATACCTCAAGCCCTGACATAGAACGTACAAGTCATTTTGTTACCGGCACTTTCCTGCCAGAGTCACATCAGTCCCAAAATAACAGTTATTTTATTAGTTATTAGTTATAAAGCTGTTGGCTAATGGCTAGAGCTTCTTATTTGTTAGCTTTGTCTTAGCTATTAACCTATTTCTATTAATCTAAGTGTTTCCACGTGGTCTTACTGCAGAAAGGGTCCAGACCTCTTCTCTCATCTTGACTCCACTCTACTACATCTCCCAGATGTAATCCTAGACCCGCCTATCTTGCTTTCCTAGTGTATTGGCCAACAGGGCTTTATTCATTAACCAATAAGAGAAGCATATATACAGAATGACATCTCCCACCATCTCTTCTTTTCTATCTAAAATAAAAAAGAAGGGTTTTAACTATAAGATAGTATATAACAAAACAGTTATCAAATAAGAACTATTGTTAACAATATTTAGTTCATTAACATTATCAGGAATTAAAGAAAATATTCTATCATCTGTCCTATCTTTTTGAGTCTAAAGTTTTATATATAACTTATCTTTAATCTTAACTAAGGAAAACTATAACCATAACTATCTGTCCTCAACTCCATCGAAGATCACAGAAGAATAATATATAAACTCTAGAATTGACAGAGAAAACTAACTCACTGCCAACGGAAGTTCTTCTGTAATGTTCCATCTTGAGCCTATAGGCCATAGTCTGTCTGGCAGACTCCTCAGCAAAGCAGGAAACTTTAAACTTTCCACCAGTATTAGCAGTTACTCACTTTTCTCTGTGTCCTGCAGAATGTCTAGTAGACTCTTCCATGAAGCAGGAACCCTGTAGCAATGTCCATCTTGTTTCAGCAATCACTTTTCTGTGGGTCCTGCATGTCCAGTTTATATGGCATAAAATCAAACGGTCCAGACAAAAGTTTCTTGCCCAAATAGCTAGTCTTGCCATATTGGGAGTAAACTCCATAACGAGTTTCTTTAATGTCCATCTTCCTTTGTATTGCAGGTGTTATTGACAGGAGCAGTTCTGTCTCACTGTCAAGAAAAACCCTAAACCATTTTAAGTGTCATATTCTGTAAGTCTTTGAAAGATTTGAAGAATGCCAATCCATTTGAAATATATCTCTCTCTATATATATCTATAAAATCCTAACAAACCTATAGGTAACTATGTATACTTACATTTTTTAATGAGCTATATAAACACAATACTTAAACAAGAGGAGAAATATACACATCACAAAGCTGACCTTAAATTTGTTATCAATAAATAAAAGCCCATTCCAAACCAAAGTATTCACTTCTATACCATAATCCCTTTTTACCTACTCTGGCTAACAGGTAACTGTGGTGATATATTGTTTATGATCCAATAAAGCTACTGGAGATCAGTTTGCAAACCCAGCCACACTAGTTATAGAAACTAGGCAGAGGTGGCACATACCTTTAATCCCAGGACTCAGGAGACAGGCAGATGGATCTGAGTTCAAGGCCACCCTGACCTACACAAGAGTAAAGAGTAACAGGGCTCACTCCTTTGATTCTAGGACTAGGGAGGTAGAGACAGGAGGATATGACTGGGTGGAGAAAGGAATAAAAGAAGACAGGAACTGAGAGCTTTTGCCTCTGAGGACTCCTGGAGTAAGGATTGCCATTTCAGCTGGGTAGAGGTAAGATCTACTGGCTTGGCTGCTTTGTTTCTCTGATCTTCAGCTTGAAGCTTGACCCCCAATATCTGTCTCTGGGTTTTTTACTTTTTGTGTTACGGACAACAATCAGCAAGCAGCTCACAGTTCACTGCCAAGTTCTGGCATAGTTAACATCACACAACTATCATGAAGTAAAAGCATTATGGAGGGTCAAAGCCAGGTTTGTGGCCCCAGGGCAGTCAGTGGGGAAAATGCTTGCTGCTCAGGTAGGACAACTTGAGTTGGCATCCCTCAGCACCCACATAAAAGCCAGGCATTGTGGCACAAGCTTATCAGATCAGGGGAAGGAGAGTCATAGAGGAGTAGATAGCCTCAACTTCCTGGCTACCCATTCCAGCAATTAGTGAGCAGCAGGCTTGTGAAGACTCTGCCTTAAAAGGGGTTAAAAGGGAGAGTGAAGAGGACCACTTATGTCTACCTCTGGCATTCACATGCATATACATGCACCTACTTGTGTGCACGCACACACGCATGCAAGCAAGAGGCCAGTTGGTTCTGGAAAGACACTCAAAACTCAAGTCTGTAGGGCCTGGTGTTACAAATTTGTAATCCCAGCTATTTGGGAGGCTGGGGCAGGAGAAGGGAAAGTCTAACTTCAGCCTGGACAATGTGAGGCTGTCTCAAAGAGGGCTGGGGAGGCAATTCAGCACTTGCCTAGCTCTGGCTAGGTTCAATCTCCAGATCTCCAAAACTGCAAACCACTCAAGTCGAAGCGCCCAATCACCACAGACACAAGGCATTGCACTCCAACAACAGGTTATTCTATGACCACACCCACCTCTGAAAGGCCTTCCCAACTCCACCTACTGGACATGAACAGCTGGCAGCCTCTAGGTGGAAGGTGAAGATGCATTTTTGTTTATCTAGGTTTGTATTGTGTAAGAACAGGAAATGTCATCTGCATTCTAGAAGGTGCACAATTGGTTCCTGACTACAGAAGCCCAGACAAATTTTTACGATGGAACTACAAACTCAGTGGCATGAATGCAGATGCCAGATCTGGAGGAAATGACCCAGCCTGAATGAAATCAAACAGGTGGATTCCCCAGTGGGATCAGCAACTTTGTAAGAAGAAAAAATAAGATTCCAGCTCCGTTCCTGTCAGCCAGGAAGAGTTCTCAAGGGAAAGTAAGATGCTACATTCTGATCTCTGAGCCTCCAGGTCTGAGGAAGTGTTTCTGTTTAAGCCACTCTGGTATTTTGTCATGGCCTCCAGTACAGGCTAACTTTGAATAATGGTCAGTATGTACAAATTAACTTAAAATAAGGAATTACTGAAACTTCAAACACATTCATTCAGCTAATATCTTCCATTTCCTTCATACAACTTAACGCCCAAGCTGTGTTCACATTGCCATAGTTGAAAAATTGCTTTTTCCAGGGCAGAGGGTGTAGCAGAGTTGGTATAGTGCCTGCCTAGCATACACTAAGTACTTGATTTGACCCCCAGCACTGCAGAAAGCCAGGTGTATGTGGTGCACAACAATAATCTTAGCATTCAGGAGTTGGAAGGAGGATCTGAAAATCCTGATGTCCTTCCACTTTACAAGTTCAAGGACAGGCTTGGCTTAAGTAAGTCTTTAAAACTGAACAATGACTCAGGGGTTAAGAGCACTTGCAGAGGATGTGAGTTCTGTTCACAGCACCCATGCTCACAACCATCTATAAATCTCTCCTAGGGTACTTGAGTCTCTTCCAGACATCCGTGAGGAACAGGTACACAAATCCCATACACATAAAACATTTAAAAATCTTTCAAACTTAGAAGCCTGGCATGGTGGCACATGCCTTTAAACCCAGCACTCAGGAGACAGAGGCAGGCAAATCTTTTGCCTTTGAGGCTAGCCTGGTCTACAAAGTGAGTTCCAGGACAACCAGGATTGTTACACAGAGAAACCCTATCTCACCCCACCACCAAAGAACAAAACCAAAAACACAACTTAGATTAGTTTAAGATCAAGGCTGTCTCACAGTTCCACCTGATTTACTGGGTTCAGCTCAGCACTTTCTCAGCAGAATTTGATCTTCTGCTTCCTTTTCCTTTAAACTCTTTCCAACTCCATGTGCTTTCGTTTTGCTTTGTTTTTTAAGACAGGGTTTCTCTGTATAGCTTTGGAGGCCATCCTGAAACTCATTCTGTAGACCAGGCTTGCCTCAAACTCAGAGATCTGCCTGCCTCTGCCTCCCAAGTGCTGGGATTAAAGGCGTGTGCCACCAACACCCAGCCCCAGATGTACTTTTAAATAAGTTATTCTTTTAAATTCCAACCAGTTCTCCCTCCCACCCTTCCTCCAGTCTCCCTCACCTCCCCCTAGCCAACCCCAGTCTACTCCTTCTCACAGATAAGGGCTCCCATGAGGAGTCAACATGGTCTGGCACAATAGATTGGAGCAGGGCCAAGCCCCTCCTATGCAGTAAGGCTGAGCACAGCATCCCACCATAGGGAATGTGCTCCAAGCTAGCTGGCTCATGTACCAGGCTTGTATCATGGTCCCACTGCCAGGGGACCCTCAGGTAGTCCAAGCTTCACAACTGTCTCCCACATACAGAGGGCCTAGTAGGGTTCCCTGTAGTCTCCAAAGCTGTTTATGTAGAATTCATGTGTTTCCATGAACTTGATTCATACATTCCCTCCTCCCTCTGACTGGATCCCCAGATCTTGGCATCTGGTTCCATCACCTACTGGATGAGGGCTCTATGATAGTTGGGGCATTCACCCATCTGACTACCAGGGTAGGCCTGTTTGGGCATCCTCTCCACTATCCACTCTAGCTAGGAGAGTCTTAGCTAGAGGTCATCCTTGTAGATTCTTGGGAGTTAACCTAGCACCAGGTTTTGTCCTAACCCCATTGTGGTAGCACTATATTACCTTTTTCTTGGTTCTTCCACTGTATCCCTCCCCCCTACCCCCTACTCAAATTATCCCTTAGATCTCATCTAATTTCTCTTCCTAGGGTGAGCCATGTGTCCCTTAGGGTCCTTGTTACCTAGCTTCCCTGGAGCTGTGGATTGTAGTCTCATTATCCTTTGCTTATGACTGCATATTATGTTTGTCTTTCTGAGACTGGGTTACCTCACTCAGGATGGTTTTGTTTTCTATTTCCATTTTTTTTTTTTTTTTTAAACTGGAACTTTGAAACAGGGTTTCTCTGTGTAGCTCTGATTTTCCTGGAACTCAATCAGTAGACCAGCCTGGCCTTGAAATCACAGCAATGCTTCTGCCCCTCAGTGCTGGGATTAAAGTTGAACAACACTACCATCAGGCAACTAACTGGTTTTGACTGCATATACATCTGAATACTACATTCATGCCTGGTGCCCAGAGATAGAAGAGAGTTGTCAAATAATCTTTTTGTGCACTGTGAAGATGTGTCTTTGCCAAGGTATTGTCTGATTGATTGGTTTAATAAAGAGCTGAATGGCCAATAGCCAGGCAGGTCTTCCAAACAGGAAATAGGAGGTGCAAGATGGATGAGAGGTAAATAGCCACTAGGCAAAACACAAATTAGTATAAATGTATTAGTTAAGTTATAGGAGCTAGTGAGACAAGCCTAAATTATAAGCCCAGCTTTAATAAGTCTATTTTTTTGTGAGCTGGAGGCCCAAAGAAAATGTTATATAGGGTGTTTTATCCCCTGGAACTGGAGTTACAGACTACTGTAAACTGTCATGTGGGTGCTGTTATTTAAACCTGGATTCACTGGAAAGAGCAGTCAATACATTTAATGGCTAAACTATCACTCCAGACTCCTGGAATTCTTTCAAAGTATAACCTACAAAGCTAGGAATAACCTGATTTCCATGAGACAAGTGCTTGATCCCTTGATTCTTTTCTGAATACAGACCTGTATTCTGAATATAGACATGAGATCCACCTGGGAGAATGAGGAACCTGCCCAACTCCATTTTGATGTTGTGAACCATTTTGCTGTATATTTAAAAGTATGTTTCTATTTACCATGAGTGTTGAGTTTTTCTGTTCCCAGGAACAAGACCTTTTCCAAACCATGACTTGATTTATTTTACTCCTTAAAAGGGATCCAAGAGATAGATTCAGGGCTACTCTCTTTATCACAACTTAAAAGGAAGGCAGTAACTGGTCAGCTCTTGGATGCAACCCAACTTTAAAAAAAAAAAAATAAGCTTGCTTCAGATTTGGCTCAAATTGTGGTAGTGATCAATGTGAATTGACATGCTGATTTAAAACACAGGGATCCCACACCATGGGAAATAACCTAGTTATACTTTAATGAAACCAAATAAATACAACTAAAGATCCAGTATCTCTAGCTGAATAAGCTCCTAGGGAAACGGTGAGTGATGAGGATATCTTAACAAACTTCTACCACCCATGTGCTTCTGTGCAATTTGTTGTTGCTGCTTCCACACATGCCCAAATACTAGGTACCCTAGTATGAATCCAGGTCTTTTTATAGCCCTTTAACAAGGGTGTTTGTTTCTATGGCCATCTGTTGAGGTTGAAGAGGATTTTAATTTTCATTTATTTATGTATCTATCATGTGTCTGTATGCACACATGTGCTGTGGAAAGTCAGAGAACAACTTAGGGCATTTGGTTCTCTCCTCTGACCATGTGGGTCCCTGGGACACTTGGGTTCTTAGGCTTTGCAGCAGTGGCTTTACCCACTGGGCCATCTTGCCAGCTCCAAGAGTAAGCTTTACTTCTGCTCAAGCCTCAAACCTCCTTCCCACAAACAGACAAGGCGAAAGAGCTAGAAGAGAAAGTGCACACAAGTGACACTAAGGACAGCTGTGACCCACTCTGACTGCATACTTCAGGTCCCCTTCCCCGTGTTAATTTCCTGGCAGAACTTCCGCTAACTCGGGAAGCTACAAACAGTTCATTCAAGGACTACATGGCTTCTAGGCTTGAGAGCACCTGATGCAGTTCTTCCAAGGTCCAGAACAGGGAAGGCCCAGTTGCCCACAAGTGCATCTATACTTCTCCACGCCCGTGAGTCCTCTGATGCCGCGTGAAAAAGCCCAGGTGGCGGAAGCCCTTCCCACAGTGCTCACACTCATAGAATCTCTTCCTCAAGTGCAGCCTCTGGTGGATGCTGAAGCCCCTGGGCCACCTGAAGGCCTTCCCACACTGGCCACAGGTGTAGGGCTTCTCTCCACTGTGAATCCGCTGATGGTGGCTGAGGTTCTCTTTAGTACGAAAGGTTTTCCCACAATTGTCACAGTAGAATGGCCTCTCCCCAGTGTGAACAAGTTTGTGCCGGAGGAGGTTTGACTTCTGTTTGAAGGCTTTCCCACAGTCATTGCACACATATGGACGGTGTTCAGTGTGGATTTTGCGATGCTGTGCCAAGCGGTCCTTCAAGCTGAAGGCCTGTCCACATAGCTCACAGCAGAAGGGCTTCTCACTTGTGTGATTCTTCTGGTGGCGAAGAAGGTTTGAAACCCAGCGGAATGTCTGGCCACACTCAAAGCACTCAAAGGACCTAGTTCCAGTGTGCACTGTCTGGTGAGCAGCCAGGCGGCTGTGGCAGCTCAGTGCCTTCCCACATGTGCCACAGATGAAGGGATGTCCCTGTGCACCACTCTTGCACTGCTCCTTGAGGCCTAGCTGCTTCCTGCAGGATTTCCCACACAGATGGTTCTGGAAAGCTTCCTGTTTGTCCACTTTCTTCCCAGAGGTGGCTCTGGGTATGAGAAGAACACTCTTCTTCAAGGTAGCCCCTCTCTCTGCTCTTGTCCCAGAATGAGCCCTCTCACGAGCTGAAACCATGTCACCAGGTCTCTTATGATCTATGGACTTTCTGCCTCCTGTGGTGAACAGACACATTTACACAGAACTGGCCCAGGAATAAGCAGCTATCCAACAAAGAATGAAGAAAAATCTATTAAGTGTCAAATCAACTTAATCTCCTTAGGGAATCAAAGAAAAAAATGGCATAAAATTATGAAGCAAATGTGTTCCATGTACACAGATGAGCTAAAACTAACAAGACGTAAGGTGAACCCTGGTGTTCACCTGACCCAGATAGAAGAAAAGGGCCTGGTACTCCGACACAAAAGAAATCACAAGTGTTCATTAAACTTGTGTCAGTTCCTACCATGGAGGTAGATCTGGGGCAGGTATTGAAAGCTAGCTCTCTGCAAATCAGAACCACCCACCCTTTGAGCCATAAGCTTCCTGCAAGCAGAGGCCTGATACACTCTGCAGCTGGGCTCCACATAATGAGCAAACACCTGTCAAACAAGAGAACCCACCCTGGTATGACAAACCTGCAACATGTTAGCCTCTCTCTCTCCCCTGTCAATGGCTATCAGTCAAATCTCAGCCGCCAGTCAAATCACAGTGCTAGGACACTGCCTCCTTTTCTCACCACCAAGGGCCCACTGACACATGTACACATGCTTCCCAACAGAGCTTAGTGGCAAAAGTATGCCACGCATGTACCCCCAAAGTCCCTAATTAGGGCACTCTGTGGAATGGAGAGATGACTCACAGGATTATGAACACTGGCTGTTCTTCCACAGGCCTTGAATTCAACTAAATGGTGGCTCACACACCATCTTTTAATGAGACCTGATGCCCTCTTCTGGCATGCATGCAGATAGAACATAGTAAGTAAATAATCTAAGGGGGAAAAAATGGTGCTCTGCATCCACTCTCTACCAATGTCTATCTAAATGTATGAAAAGTGGCCTTAATCAGTGTGGGGGAAATGGGACAGCCAACCAAGAGCAGCCCACCTTCCATCCTGCTTACCTGGGCAGATACCTTTTTGTGCTTCTAGAAACTCAGGTCTGTCCTGATCTTCAATCCATGGTTCATCCCACTGTTCCAGGTGAGAAATAAGGTCTGGTCTAGGGCCATAGTATCCTTTCCAAAAAGTGAGAAATGGTATCTGATTAGGCCAGGACTCAGACTAGCTCTGGGCAGCACAAGATGACCCCAGCAGCCCTATCAGCCCTTGCAGATCCCCTGGAGAAGCTGCTGGAAGTAAAAATGAGGAAGACAAAGGCTTACAGGAGGGAGAAAGGAGTATGCCTGCCTGAACATGAACACATACATGCTGATACCAAGCCCTTTGCAGGGACCTAGGGGTTTGAGGAAAGATGTCAGGATACCTCCAGAGGAGCCAAAAGAGATGCCCTTGATCAGACACAGCTCATGGCACCTTATCTAGCACCTATCAAGCTCCAAAAACTAACATAAGCTCTTACCCACTTCAGTGAAGTTCTTGAAGTTTTCTAGCATCACATCCCGGTAGAGGGCTCTCTGGCTAAGGCTGAGACACTCCCATTCTTCCCTGGAGAAGTACAGGGCCACATCTCTGAAGGTCACTGGCATCTGACACACAGATGGCTCCAGGACTGCCTGCTACTGAGTAAGAATGAGTCAGAAAAAGCATGGTAAAGCCTGTTCACTGGACACGAAGAAGGGGTAGGGTGGGCAATGATCTCTGCAATGACTAATATTCATTGAGAATCACCTAGGAGATGCCGGGAACATAAGCCTTAGAGATTGCCAAGTTTTTCTTAGAATAGCCCATTGAGGGGGCTGGAGAGATGGCTCAGAGGTTAAGAGCATTGACTGCTATTCCAGAGGTCCTGAGTTCAATTCCTAGCAACCACATGGTGGCTCACAACCATCTGTAATGAGATTTTCTCCCTTCTTCTGACCTGTAGGGATACATTCAGATAGAATACTGTATACATAATAAAAAAAAAAAAAAAAAAAATAGCCCATTGAGTTAGAAGATTGCTCCTTCAGTCCCAATCTACCTTCTCTTCCTCCCCAACTTCCTGAGAAGTAGAATTTAGGGCTTACAGGAATGCAGTTAGGTAACCCCTTCTTATGCAGTTATTTAGCAACTCCAAAGACCTCTTCCCCTGCTAACAACTTGCTTATCTTCATGTCCTGCTCACCTTCAGTGACCTACAATGAAGAACACCAGGCAATGATCTCCCCCACTGTGACTCCTTGCCTTACCTAGCTTCCCACCTAACCACTATATAACCCTGCACTAAGCCACCTCGACCTAAGAGGTTAAGGGCAGGCTTGCTACAGATCCTTGAGACAGATCCGAAGGAATCAAGGCGAAGGCAAAGCAAGGTAAAATTTATCATGGGACAGGCATTTAGTAGACAAGATTGGTGGAGTCAAATAGGCTTTTCAAGGCACGACAAGGGTTAAGAAAAAGGATTTAAAGGGATTTTTAGACTATATTGGGGACATTTGTCCCTGGTTCCCCCAGGAGGGAAACACTGATAAAAAGAGATGACAAAGAGTTGGAAATTGTATCAAGTATTATTATCAAACCTTTGGGCCAGAAAAGGTCCCTGTTTCCGCCTTCTCTTGCTGGAATCTCATAAAATGAGGTCTTCAGAACTTATAACCATTATCCTGATATTCAAACCCTTATCCAAGAGGGAGAAAAGACCCTCAAGGAGAATTCCCACCCTTACAAATCCCCTGCCCTACTGCCCCCACCCCCCCCATGCTGCTCCAGGGCTCGGGGAAGCATATGCACTAGATCAGCAGGACTTGTGGGTGCCAAGAACTCAGAGTTGCTACAATGGTGGTTGTTTACTTTTCAAGCAGCTACAGCCACAGATGAGCTGCAGCAGGCCAGCCCAGGCCCAGAGAGCAAAGGCAAGACAAGACCTAGAAGCCTGCAGTCTTTGGAACTGCTGCCTTGGCTAATGCCCAGTCAAGTGTATGGAAAAACTAATGCATCCTGTCTGAAACTGTTTTAAAGACCAAAAGGAAAAAACAAAACTAAACAAACATTACAAGAGATTTCAATTAAGGATGTCTTACTTCAACAAACTAATCTTGTCCTAGAGAAAAGGGGGGCTAAAAGATCTATGTATGTTCTATATGTATGGTGTGGCCACACTTGCGTGTCTGAAGTGTGATTGTGAATGTGTGAATCTCAACAATAGGTACTACTTAATTTGCTTGGGATATACAAAATAAAAGACATCAGGTCAGTGTCTTAATTGGAAGAGTTGGCAATCTGTGCCTCCCAAGGCTGGCCCCCGAGCAGATCAGTGGGAAATGGCCAAAGTCAACATGGCCTGGAAGTCATAGGAGCCTCTATGGATGGTTCAATAGAGTTTAACAGAGGAGAGAATACACAAATTCTCTTATTTTTGTGGTTAAAAAAGAAATTGAAAGAATGGAGGTTAATGTAAGATTTGAGAAAAGCTATTGAGAAGAAGCCTCAGGAAACTGCAGCCCTGTCAGGCCCCACCTAGAAAGGTGTCAGTGAAATGCAAAAGAGACCACATCAGCTAATGAAAGCTTTACAGGTCAGATTACAAAAAGAATTTTCAAAAGTATTTGGGACGTATGTTACAGCCTAAAGAAATTAGGTCTCAAAAATTAAGAATTAGAAAAGATAGCTTTCGATCATTAAATGATTTTCAGAAGTTATTGAGAAATATTCAATGGTTACATCCTTTTTAAAAAAGCATCTACTGGCGATTTAAAACCTTTAAGCGATATTCTGAAAGGAGATAATGATCCCAATTCACTTAGACAGCTAAAGAAGGTAGATAAGTTCTCCTACAATTGGAGAATGCAATCCAGCACCAGCAGATATGCTATAGAGTATGCAAAACCATGGGAGGCTTATGTGCTTCCCACACAACATAGTTCAACTTCTATCTTACAGCAAGTGACACCATTGTTATGGTTGCTCTTACCTGTTTCCCCAGCCAAAGTGTTAAAGCAGTAAGTAGCTTGTATGGTACAAAAATGCCCTATGGAGTCTAGGAGATATATTGGCAGGGAGTCAAGCATAATACACGTTCCCTATATCAAAAACAGCAAGGTTTTGGTTATTTCAAAACAGTGATTCATGGACAATTGCTTTTGCTCAGTTTTTGGAAAAAATTGATAATCAGTTTCCAGCTCATAGGCTGTTGTAAAAAAAAAATGCTATATTGGTTTTTACTGATGGTTCTTCTAATGGAAAAACAGCTTATGTTATTGATGGAAAATATGTAATACAGATCCACCTTCAGCTCAGATAGTTGAGTTACAAGCTGTTGCAATAGTTTTTCAGCTTCTAATAAATTATTCATTTAACTTATATACTGATATTCATTATGTTTTCAGAGCTCTTCAAGTTTTAGAGACAGTTCCATACATTGGAACTAGTAATCATCAGGTTAAATTACTGTTTGAGCAAATTCAGAGTGTCATTCATCAAATAAAGTCACTGTGCTTTGTGGGTCATATAAGAGCTCATTCAAACCTTCCCCGCCCACTGGCTGAAGGTAATGAGTCAGCTGATAGACTGACAAAAATGGTTGCAGTCACACAGCTTTCATCAAAATAGTAATTGTCTAAGAAAACTGTTTAGTTTAACTGGAGAGACTGCTTGGCAAACTGTCAAACAATATGATGTATGCCCACAATGTTTAACTAACTAATATAGGAGTAGATCCTCCGAGGCCTACTTCCTAATCATTTATGGCAAATGGACGTTTACTCATATTACAAATTTGGCAGATTAAAATATGTGCACATGGCAGTCAATACGTATTGAGGCTTCTTAATGGCTACTGCACAAACTTGAGAAGCCATTAAGCATGTGATAAGTCACTGTTTAAAATGTTTTGCTTGCCAGGTGTTGGGCACTCAGGAGACAGAGGCAGGTGGATCTCTGTGAGTTTGAATCCAGCCTGGTTTACAGAGCTAGTTCCAGGACAGGCTCCAAAAGCAATACAGAGAAACCCTGTCTCAAAAATAAATAAATAAATAAAATATTTTGCTTACATAGGAGTTCTAAGAATTATAAAGACAGGCAATGGATCTGGACATACTAGTAAAGCATTTCCAGCAATTTGGTGCCCAATGGAAAATTGAACACATAACAGGCATTCTTTATTACCGTCAAGGGCAAGGCATACTCATAGTTCTTTGAAAATACAACTAATAAGGAGAAGGGAGTAGTGGCCCCAGTCTCCACATGATACATTAAATCACACACTCTTCATTTTAAATTTTTTGAATGTCCATGAGCAATCTGCAGTGGACAGATTCTGGCACTAGACTATGAAAAGGTCTGAACCTGTCCTAATATGGAGTCAAGGGCATGTTTCTGTTTTCTTGCAGGAAGAAAATGAGGTCCAGTGGATGCCAGACCGTTTGATAAGATGTATGGAACAGAGGAAACCAGGACTGGAGACTGCAGGAGCATAATTATCTTCCCCCACCCCCTTCAGAGGTATTCCTCCAAAACAGGTGAGGTTTAGACCTATTGTTTTTACAACAAGGAGGAATTTGTGCAGCCCTCAAGGAGGAATGTTGCTTCTATACAGATCACACAGGAGTGAAAAGAGATAGTATGGCCAAGGTCAGAGAAGGGCTAGTAAAACAGAAGGAAACAGTGAGAGCAGGAACTAGGCTGGTTCCAAAATTGGCCCTCAGCCTCACTCTGGCTTACAATCCGAAATCCCTTCCATTTTAGGACCCCTTGCTGGCTTCATAATTCTGCTTGCCTTTGGCCCTCAGGGCCATTAAGCGGTTAACTGGCTTTATCCACCAACAAATGACTCCCTGACAGCAAAGCCCATCCAAGTACACTATCACAGGCTTGACCTCGAAGATAGTGGTCCGGGTGAGTCTTTAGAAGGTCACAACCCACAACCAAGGGGGCCACTTCCCAGGGAAGCCTCCTTCTCCTATTGACAAAACTAAAACATCTCCTACAGAGGTGAGCCTTGTATGAGTGCAATGGAGAGGCCACTAAAGGCGCCTGGGCTTCATGGGAGTATACCTGGTTGCATGAAGGTCGACAGAAAAACCCTTCCCTCTTCAAAAAGGCATTGAGGCAGGCCTGAACAATCTCACCTGCAAAGGCTGGGTTAGCTTGCTTCAGGATTTATGTCCCATAACCATCTAAGGGGACCAGGATCTCTGCTCCCACTTATGGTGAGATAATGTCAATAGCCCACCTTCTTACTTGGAAAAAAGGGAGGAATTGCCTGGAGTGATAGTGGCATAAGTCTTAAGAGATTGCCAGCTTTTTCTTAGAATAGCCCAATTGAGTTAGAAGATAACTACCTTGAGTCCCAATCTACTTTCTCTCCCTCCCCAACTCCCTGAATTTAGGGCTTACAGGAATGCAGTTAGGTAATCCCTCCTTATGCAGTTATTTAGCAACTCCCAAGACCTCTTCCCTTGCTAACAACTTGCTTATCTGCATGTCCTGCTGACCTTTAGTGAACTATAATGAAGAACACCAGGTGGTCCAGTTACCAGGCAATGACATCCCCCACTCTGATTTCCCACCTTACCTAGCTTCCCACCTAACATGCTTCAGAAAAAAATTTTGCATCTTGATCTGTCTTGCTGCTGGTTTCTTGTGTCTTCTGTCCTTCATTCCAGGCCCTTTGGGGTTTAGGCCTTCGTTGCAACGAGACACACCCCTGTAGATGTTTGTGAGGGTTTTTCCACAGAAGTCTAACCAACCCTGAATGTATGGATTCTCATCCCATGGGTGTGGTTCTAGTCTCATGGAAAGGAAAAGACCATCAGCATTACTTCTCTGCCTCCTGTCCAGCTGCAGTTCACACTCCTACCTCCACAATGGGCTGTGTCATTTCAAACTATGAGTCTAAACAAACCCTTCTTCCCTTGAGCTCCTTTTGTTACAGCCACTGAAGCAGAAAGCATCCTCACCATGCTGGTCCTGTGCCATTTGAAAATGAAATATGGAGTCATAGTGGTGATCACCTTTAATCCCAGCACTCAAGAGGCAGAGGCAGGTGGATCTCTGAAGTTGAGGCCAGCTTGGTCTACAGAGTGAGTTCCAGGACAGCCAGAACTATACAGAGAAACAAAAAAAACAAAACCAAAACAGAAAGAAAGAAAATGAACCATCATTAGGTGCTGCTTTTTGGCTACAGGTATAGCATGACCTTTCTTTCAGATCATCCATTTGCTATCAAGAAAGTGAGATAATCTTGATTCTGTATTAAGGACAACATAGTACTAACTAGGTGTACTGCAATCAGAGTGTTAGCTCTCTCTAGCAAAAGAAAAGGGGACACTATACTCACTAGAATTTGAACCACACCCAAGTTTGTTTGTGCTCAGCTGCCTCTCCTTTTCACTTGATCCAGGGTCCAGTTAGTAAAATGGGGTTACCACATTCAGGGTGGATATTTCCACTCAGCTAACCAATTAAGAACGCCATGTCCACTGGTCGGTGGTGGTGCACACCTTTAATCCCCACACTTAGGAGGCAGAGACAGGTGGATTTTTTGAGTTCAAAGCACTGATGAAAATAAAGTTGGGTTATGCTGGTATTGTGGTACACACCTTACAAGCTGGGTCCCTCTGGGAAGCAGCAAGAACTCAACCTCTGAGCCATGTACACACCTCTAATCCCAAGATTTGGAAGGCAGAAGCAGTGAGAGCTGCCAAGCTGATCTATTCAACTATTTCTGGGCCAGCCAAAGCCATACAGTAAGACCCTGTCTCTAAGCAAACAAAAACTCTTTAAAATTAAATTAATTGAAAAATTAAATTGAAGGCTGGGTTGGGCAGTGGTGGCACATACCCTTGGTCCCTGCACTCAGGATGCAATCTCTGAGTTGGAGGCCAGCCTGGTCTAAAGATTGATTTCAGGACAGCCAGGGCAATAGATGTTCTCTATAGCTACCCAATCTCAAAAACAGAGTTCAAGGCCAGGTGTCCCAGTATCATTCTGCTGCTGTGATAAAATTCCATTAATTTAGCTTACAATTCCAAGTAGCAGTTCATTGTGTGGGGAAGTCAAGGCAGGAGAGTTCAAGATAGCTAGCCACATCATAGTCAAATGCAGGAAGAATGAACAAATAAAATGTTTACAACTCAAGCTTGCTTTCACCCATTTTCCAGAGTTCATGGCCACAAACCTGTGTCTGCCCATCAAGCCAATCAAGGCAATGCCCCACAGACATGCCTAGAGGCCAGTCTAAGCTTAAGATCCCTCACACACACATTCTTCCAAACGATGCTAGATTGTGTCAAGTTGAGAAATCAACCATTACACCTACTTTGCCTACACAGCTATGTCAAAGACAGTTTGGGATGTTTAAAAAGCAAGCCAAATAAAACAAATCAAAGCAACAAAACTCAGTGGAGCCAACAAAACTGCCAAAGAACTAGTAATGTTCAGAATAACTTCTATAAACTAACGGTAAAGAGAGGAAAAAATTTTATAAGGGTAAAAATAAGCCGTATCCTCGCATTCAGGAGACAGAGATAAAGGGGTCAGACACTAGTTGGAGGCCAGCCAGACTACAAAAGTGAGATCCTGTCTATAACATGTAAATTATTTTTAACAGATATCATTAAAGTTGTGCTTAGGGACATTCAACCTTGTGACATTGTGACATGACTAGTCATTTTCTACAAACGCCCTGGTCTGCATTCTTATCTATAAACCACATGCAAGGCCACAAGTTGGGACACAACTGGAAGACCTGAACTGGAGCTCGGGTAACTCAGGTCCGGGTAGTGACTGCCAACCTCAAACTCTGGTTGATTAAAAGACCTTTGCCCTTGATCGGAACACCTGAACTGGTGCCACGAGCCTGGCTGGGTTTCGAGGCCTGAGAGTAGGGGAGTGGGAAAGTCCACCCAAAAAACAGAAGACTGCAACCCTGGAGGACAGGAGCACAGAGGGCTGCCCCAGTGCGGTACCAGAGAGAAGGAAACCCAAGCGCGAGCGCCGTGGGGATCCAGGTGGGCTCGAAGCCGGGGACTGTGGGGAGCGGTTCTGACTCACCGAAGGGGCCACGTGGTGAGCCCGCCCGAGAGGAGCGCTGCCCCGTCGGAAGCACTGCTCGCGTCGAGCATCCAGGGGAGCAGCGGCAGCAACATATGGGAGCATCTGTAGGCTACAGGAGGTGCCGGGCTCGGCTTTGAGCACAAGCACGGTGGCACAGAGCAGGGTAACCCAGACCTGCACGCCAAACTGGCAACAGACAACTGCCGAGCTTCCTTCAGTTCTCGGTCCGATTGCTCGCCGCCCTAACTTCAACTCTCTAGCGGAATTACGCCAGAAGCAGCTTCCGGCAACTCTAGGAGCTGCTACTCAATGGTCAACGCCATGAAACTACGGGAAGTCGTTTGCGCTGAGCTTCCCCAGAAGGCCCGCCCTCCGGAAGCCCGGCCCTTAGAGACGTTTACCAATTTGATGTACACCTGTGTGCTTCACTTGCTTGCCCTTGTCCTGCTGTCCCTCCATCGTGGAGGCTGGCTGCTTTGTAGTGCTCCTGAGCCCTCTAGGAGGTTTTTGGGTTTTTGTTGTTGTTGTTTGTTATCGTGGAATAATAAGGATGGGGGGAACAGGCTGAATAGATGCTTATTCAGGGAGAAATAACTTACAATAGACACAGATGAACGCCAGCAGGTTCCTGGTCCCAAGGATGCCTCTGGATGCTCTCTGTCCTCAAGTAAGAGAGCAGGGGGGAGGCTTCCCCAGACTTCGTTCCCCAGGTAAAGTGGGCATCTGTCTCCACCCCCAATGAGCATGGTCAGTGCAACAGTCACAGACAGAGTGAATATCTCACTATAAATTCCCCTTTTAGTCTAAAAAAAAAAAAAAAAGATTTAGGCTTATAAAAAACTATATACAAAACAGTGAATAACAAGTATGCTCTAAAAGGAAAATTGAAGCTGGGCATTGGTGGTCCATGCCTTTAATCCCAGCACTCAGGAGGCAGAGGCAGGTGGATCTCTGTGAGTTCGAGACCAGCCTGGTCTACAAGAGCTAGTTCCAGGACAGCCACAGAGAAACCCTGTCTCGGAAAAAAAAAAAAAAAAAAAAAAAAAAAAGGAAAATCGAGAACATCCAAACTTAAAATCTACATGTCTAGTCCTAGGGTGAAGGCATAACAGAGTTTACAACAGAGTTGTCCTAAGATGGAAAGCTTAAGTCTAGTACCTAGTATTTCTAACTAGGAGAGAATAATAATTATGATATTCTAATCTAATCTTCAACCTCGTCAAAGACCTGAGAAGGAAGATAACAATACTAGGGTAGGCAGGAAGTGCAGATGGGCAACTTCCAAATTGTGCAGCCAGGACAGAAACAGCAAGCTACCTAGACAGTGTTTTTGAGACACAGTTTCTCTGTGTAGCTCTGGCTGTCCTGGAACTCAGATCCGCCTGCTTCTGCCTCCCAAGTGCTGGGATTTAAAGGCATGTGCTACCACGCCCGACTTCACTTTTAAATATGATAAAGTACAAGTAATAACACAACATCCATTTCTAACCTGATGAGTGTACCCGCAGTTTTTCTGTTTGCATCTTGAAAGCATGTTATCATGCAAATCAGAAATGTTTCTACCCAAAGAACTTTCCTCCAATTCCTCTCGTTCGTACAGTTTGGAATTTGTCCTAGGACCTTCTCAATCCGATATTTGCCAGGTTCATTCATGTGGCGGTTTGAGTCAGGATTTCATACATCATTCTATTCAGTCATCGGTCAATGGACACTTGGGCAACCATGATGCTAAATTTAATTCTAAAGATCCAAACGTTGTAATTCTAGTTTAGGCAACACTTCATTCCAGAAAATCATATAGTCCCATGAACTGAGTAGATGTCTGTTTTACAAAGAGAGAAATTAGGTCTAAAGGAAAGAAAGAAAATGGCAGAAGCAGGTTGGTCTTGTTAGAGTTACTTACTTTCTAAGGCAGAGACTGACAATAGGGAAAAAAAAAAAAAAAAAAACAACTGCAGGGAAAATGGGTTAGTCCAGGTTGCTTTTCTGCCAGGATTAAAGCAGAGTAAACTCCACTATCATGCTCACTGAAACCCAACCTCTTCTGATTTCCCAAAAGGTCAGATAACAACCTAGTTTCCTTTGATGCCTGACATTTTGCTGGGTCTGGTCAGCTAAGGGTCCAGTGAAGGAGCCTAGTGACAAACAAAGGGTTTCTGTGGATTTTGTTGAACAAGGGTGTTATGAAGATAGGTGTACATTATCTGTTTGCATTCACTTCTTTGGGCTATGTATTCAGGAATAGCATTTCTGGAATTTTCTATGGTTGACTTGTTAAGGAATCGGCACTGTCTCTACATCAGACGAACCTGTGCTCTGAGCAGCAGACCTGAGATATTCAAATCCTTCATCCTTATCAACCATTTCTTATTTGGAGTTGTTTCTGGGTTTTTTGTTTAGCTTAAATTGTAACCATCATACTTGATTTAAAGTGGTATGTTGTTGGAAACCCTTATCTTGGTGTTGCACAAAGTAGTAAGAACAAAGCCAAAGTAGTTTGGCAAGATAATTTGTTTTTGTAAGAAGGGTATGCCAGAACCCAAATCCAACTAGTATAGTAAGTAGACCTAGGCAAGAAGTTTACCTGGTAATTCTAATGCAGGTGGTAATTGTGTCTTTTTTCTATTGGCTGGGATCCACCTTACAACCTTTTGCAATTGGTTTGTCTTAAAGGAATCAGTGCAGAGGAAATGAAGTGAGAATAATCAGCCATTTCAAGATGCCAAATTCCCAGAATGCAGCAGGGCCTTTGTGTAAATATGTTTTAACAGGTAGGAGAAACGAAAATGTTTGCATAAAAGTTTTACAGGGTAAGATTGAAGGTAAAGGAGAAACCCTCTCTCAAAAAACATAACAAAACAAAGAGATCTGGAGAGATGGCTCAGTGGTTAAGAGCACTGGCTGCTCTTCCAGAGGTCCTGAGTTCAATTCCCAGGAACCAGAAGTGGCTCACTACGATCTGTAATGAGATCTGGTGCCCTCTTCTGTCATGCAGGCAAAACACTGTGTACATAATAAGTCTTTAAAAACAAAAGAGCCAGGCATAGTGGTGCAGGTCTTTAATCCTAGAATTTGGGATGCAGAGGCAGGTGGATCTCGAGTTTGAGACCAGCCTGGTCTACATAGCAAACTCCTGGACAGCCTGAGCTACATGATAGAAAGGCCTTTCTGGGGTAAACAACAACAAAACAAAACAAAAGAACCCAGAAGATATGATGATGAAGACTTTAAAAATATTATCTGAGGACTGGAGAGGTGGCTCAGAGATTAAGAACACTAGCTATTCTTCGAGTAGAGGTCCTGAGTTCAATTGCCAGCACACATGTAAGGAGTAAGGTTTTTCCTCCCGCCGCTGGTCTGGTCCTGCCGCCACGCCAGCCCCAATTAACACACTGAGACTCTGTATTTGATATAATTCTGTTGGCCCTACTAGTTTCTTATCGGCTAGCTCAGTCTTAATTATTAACCCATTTCTATGTATTTCCCTGTGGTTTCACCTACCGGGGAGTGGGGCAGGCATCTGGTCTCCTCTTTCCTCCTTTTCTTCTAGTCCCTCCTATCTTCCTTTCCTATTGGCCAACAGTGCTTTATTCATTAACCAGTATGAGAAATATATACAGAATGACATCTCCCATCATCTCTTTTCTGTCTAAAATAAAGAGAAGAGTTTTAACCTTAACATAGCAAAATATATAACATAACAGTTATCAAATAAGAATCACAGTTAACAATATTAAGTTCATTAACATTTAGCAAGATTTAAGAAAATATCCCATCATCTATTCCATCTTTGTGAGTCTAAAGACATATATGTAACTTATCTTTAAACCTAACTAAGGAAAACTATAACCATAACTATTTGTCTTCAACTCCTTCAAAGACCACAGAAGGATAGTATATAAACTCTAGAAATGACAGAGACAACTCACTGTCTGTTCAGTCACCCGAAGTTCTTTTGTAATGTTCCATCTTCAGCCCATAGGCCATAGTGTGTCTGGCAGACTCTTCAGCAAAGCAGGAAACTTTAAACTGTCTTCTTGTATTGGCAGTTTGTCAGTCATTTTTCTCTGTGTCCTGCAGAAGCTCTGGCAGACTCTTCCATGAAGCAGGAACTCTGTAGCAATGTCCATCTTGAATCAGCAGTCACATTTTTGTGGGTCCTGCATGTCCAGTTTATACAGCATAAAGTCAAACAGTCCAGACAAGAGCAGTATCTTGTCTAAAAGGCTAGTCTTGCCATATTGGAGGCAAACTCCATAACGAGTTTCTTCAATGTCCATCTTCCTTTCTGACGAAGGTCGTGTTCCCAGGAACAACTATGTCTCACTGTCAAGAAAAACCCTAAATAATTTTAAATGCCATATTCTGTAAGTCTTTGAAAGGTTTGAAGAATGCCTATCCATCTCAAATACATATCTGTATATCTAGAAATCTTAACTAACTTAACTATAATATCTGGCTATCATAGGTACTATCTATAATCTGTATTGAATTATACATTACATTTCTAAATGAGCTATATAAACACAATACCTAAACAAAAGGAGAAATATACACATCATAAGATTGACCTTAAATTGTATCAATAAATGAAAATCCATTCCAAAACAAAGTATTCATATCTATACCATAATTCCCTTTTTACCTTTAAAAAGATTTGGCTGTGATCATTAACCATTTATAACCAACCCCATTTAAATGAAAACAAACATTTATAAACAATATTTGGAATTTGGGTGTTGTTCTTTCCAAACTACTTCCTGCTGGTAAAGGGCAATGTCATGGGGGAATCCTAAGAAGACACAGAAATCCTGGTTGTAGTGTGCAAGGCTGCTTTGTCCAAGCTATTTTGAATGTTGGATCACCAGCGACTCTGTTTCAGGGGGCCTGGCTTGATCAAACCACATTAGTCTGGAAGGAATCCACAGCTTTTCATTTTCTGTGGAAACAAAAATAGAAATCCTTTTCCCCAGTAACTTGTCCTTGAACTTAAATTTTGAAGTCAAAGCATTTTTAAAATATAGAAATTGAATTAATCCAGCAGTATTTCCTTTGACAGTTGTTTCCTCAGTATAAAGACAATATAATGCCATACCGTTATACAGATTCTCTCTGAGCTTTTCATTTTTACGTGGCTTTATTATTACTCTCTTTCTTCTATTTTTTCATTTTTTGAGACAGAGTTTCTCTGTGTAACTTTGATCTGTCCTGGAATTCACTTTGCAATTACAGAGATCTGCTTGCCTCTGTCTCCCGAGTGCTGGGATTAAAGGCATGTGCCACCACACCCAGTTCCTCTTTGTCTTTTTAAAACCATTTTATTTTTTTTTTCCTCCCATGACTAGGTATATTTTAAAACACACTGTAAACCTTTAGCGGGTTTTCTTAATGTGAATCTGTCTTTACTGTAAATCTTTATCTTTTTTTGGCCATGAGTCTTTTATCTGGTAAACAACATTGCTAAAATGGAAGTCATTGTTGTTTCTGCCCAGGTTTATCAAAGATGGTGGCAGCTATTTTACCGCCAGCAGTGAGAGCTGTGCTTACTGCCTTGGTCTGCACTGCCATCCAGCCCCATGCTGCTGACTTGGAGATGTGGTCACTGCCATTGCAAGCTCTCGTACACACCAATAAATTGTTAGCAGTGCTTCTTAAAAGCCTTGTGTTTTTTTTCTTTTCTTTCTTTTTTTTTTTTTTTTGCCGCTTATGCTGAGTCAGGAATCTCCCTTAAAGGAGCCGTGCAAATATCTGCTTGCCTCTGGCAAAGCAGAGTCCAACCGAGAAAAATGCTGCTACCAAGAAACCTTGCTTGTCTGTGTTCTTTTGTTTCTAAAACCCCCTTTTTAAAGCTTCTGTTAAATTTGAAGTGGAAGTTCTTACTAGCCACATGGGCGCCTTATGTAAGGAGTAAGGTTTTTCCTTCCTCCGCTGGTTTGGTCCTGCCGCCGCGCCAGCCCCAATTAACACACTGTGACTTCTGTATTTGATATAATTCTGTTGGCCCGTTACTAGTTTCTTATCAGCTAGCTCTGTCTTAATTATTAACCCATTTCTGTTAATCTAGTATTTCCACTTGGTCTTCTCTTACCTGGGAGCCAGCCGGCATTCTGCTTTCTCCAGACTCTCCATCTTGACTCCTCCTTACTCCTTCCTCTTTCCTCCTCGTCTCATAGTTCTGCCTATCTAGCTTTCCTATTGGCCAACCAATATGAGAAACCAGTATGAGAAACATATACAGAATGACATCTCCCATCACACCCACATGGTGACCACAACCATCTGTAATGAGATCTGGTGCCCTCTTCTGGCCTGCAGGAGGAACAATGTATACATAATAAATAAATTTAATTAAAAAAAATTATCTGTTGGCAGGCAAGCTATTTTTTCTTTTGTGAGATAAGGTCTCACTATGTAGTTCTTGTTGGCCTGGAAGGTAGGCCAGACTGGTTTTGTCTGCTTTATTCATTTACCAATAGTGACTTTTAAAAGAGTTCAGTTTTAAGGTTCAAGGAGGACACTGAGATGAATTATCCTTTTATAAAAGATTAGAAGAAAGATTAATGCCATAGACAGACAAACCGTAGCATGTAAGGAGCTCTGTGGAGCATTCAGGCCTATAAGGCCAAGTAGGGTCCCTTTCTTACAGGTGTCAGAGGGTGAGAAGTAGATTAAGTTTCCTTTATTTATTTATTTATTTTGGTTGTGGTTGGCCATTTTTTTAAAGTTTTTAAAAATTTATTTAATGTGTATAGGTGTTTTCCCTACAAACATGTCTGTGTACCACATGCTTGGCTTGTGCCCAAGGAGCCAGAAAAGCTGTCAGAACTAGAGTTACAGATGACTGTGAGCCATTATATGATTGCTGGGAAATGAACCCCCAGTTCCTTTGGCAAAGTAGTCCAGGCAATTAACCTGAACTCAGGTTTTTGTTTTGAGTGCTGGGATCAAAGGTGTGCACCACCACTGCCTGGCCTCTGAATTTAGCTTTAACATGCATACACACACAGGTGTGGGGAAAGGGACTTTTGAAGTATGTTAGCTTTTCATTGCTGTGGCAACGTATCAGAAACCGACATGAGGATTTGTTTTTGCTCAGTTTCAAAAGGTTTATTTAGTCTATGGAGTTTGCTTCACTGGTGTGAGGTTGTGGTGAGACAAAACACCACTGATAGCAGGAACAGGTAATGAAGAGGGCTGCTCACATCATGGCAGCCAGGTAGTAGAGAGACAGTAAGGGGGAGGGAGATAACCCTCTCTCAAGACTTTCTCTAACCCAGCTCCACCTAGTAAGAGCCATTCAGGTTTTAGGTGGGAACCACCCTGCCCAGTTTGGAAAAGTCACTTTAATTTTTATTTATTATGTGTATGGGTGTTTTGCCTACATATATCTGTATATCACATTCATTTCTGGTGCCCATGGAAGCCAAAAGGCATTGGATCCCCTGGAACTCAAGTCATAGACTGTTATAAGCTACCAAGTGGGTGCTGGGAATCAAACCTGGGTCCTCTGGAAGAGCAGCCAGTGTTCTTAACCGCTATCTCTTCAGCACCTTGGTAAGCTGCTTTGCAAAAGACCTATATAAAGGTTAGGCATGGTGTCACACACCTTTAATTCCAGTGTTCAGAAGGAAGAGACAGGTGGATAACTGTGGGTTTGAGTCAAATCTAGTCTACATTGTCAGGTCCATGCCAGCCAGAGCTGTACAATGAGACTCTCAAAAAACAAGCAATAAAACTAAAACTGCACAAGTTGGGCATAGTAGCCCATACCTGTAATTTCAAGGCTGACACAGAAATATCACTTAAGACCAGCTGAGCCACATGGTAATACCAGCTCAAAACACAAAACAAAACAGAATCAAGAATGACTGACAATATCAAGTATTGGCAAAGACAGGGAGCATACACATACTAGCAGGAACATAGGACAGTATACATGAGAGTTCTGTACAGCAACTTCTTATAAAACTAGAAAAGTACTTATTCCAACAGACTGAAATGTGCATCCTATTTTGAAATCCCCAAAGGCGAGGCTTTGGGAAGTGACTGAATTTTAAGTGGAAGCTTCATGACTAGGACTTCTGCCCTTACAAGAGGCTAGAGAAATCTCCCTACCTCCGTTCTGCTATGCTAGGGTGCAAAGAGAAAGCATACACCCATGAATGCCTCATTAGACCTTGGGTCTCGCAGACTCCAATACTTTGCAAAATACATTCCTACTGTCTATAAGCCACCCACTCAATTTACATTACTTTGTTGTAGTCACCTAAGACTGAGATACTTATAACCTGTGATAAAAGTTGTTTACTGGAAAGAAACACACATATGTAAATGAATGTTTTTACACAAATGCTCATAGCAGTTTATTTTTGAGTTTGCACACTGGAAACCCAATTTCCATAAGCAAATGAATTAGTGAGCACATGATGACCTAGCCATACAATGGGCAAAGAGAACTACTAATGCAAAGTTATTTGACAGAGTTTAAAAACGCTTTGGTCTCATGCCAAGGTGATCAAAGTCGGATACAAGGGCACCTACCTTACCAGTCCATGTGTAGGCGATTCTAGGACAAGCAAGGCAATCCTACAGTTACAGGAACTGGTTACCAGGACAGGGGTTGGAGTTACTTTGGAAAAGGAGACTTTCCTGATGTAAAAGAAATAATACTTTTCTTAAATGTGGTATTACTACAAGGGCAAAGGAACTTCCAAAACAGTATAAAGTAGGTACTGTATTGTGCTGAATGAAATGTCCTGATAACATTTATGTCATGTGATGCTGAGTTTTCCAGAAAATGGGTATCATGTCCTCTTTAACTTATCTGCCCACTTGAAGCTTTTGGGTTCACTGGAATTTGTTAAAAACTCAAAAATATGCCCTTTAGAACAAAAATTATTTTCATGTTGTCTCAGAACTAGTTATTGTGGTTAATGCTCTGATCAAAGGAATCCAGAGACAGAAACAAAAACAGTTGCTGGCTGGATTTACTGTGTACTAACTCTGAGCAGCAGCACAACTGTGTTCTGCCTGTCTGTGGAGACAAATTCCCAAATTTCTGCTTCCAGGGTGACAGATGTCCACTGACTTCTCTGGATCAGTTAAAATACCAAGTACACTATGGAGCCTTCCTAGATCTACAGTGACACTAGTTATCGCCTTGTCTAGAGCTCTTACAAGGCCTGGCTCTGGGATCTGTCTGGCTTCCCCAGCACATTCCACACAGGATGCATGGCACCTTTTTACTCTCATCTTTCAAACAGCTGAAACTGTTCCTCAAAGATCTTAAAACATTTTCAACAAGTTATATTAGAAAGACACAGCTGAGCCTGGGGCTGCTAAAATAGAAAAAGGGATGTAGTCATGAGGGCACTGCCCTCAAAGGACAGTGGAAAGCTCTGAATGAGGACCGTGCCACATCTAGTGGGCAGTAACTGCAGACATCAACTCTTAGCAAGAGCAGGTATCAAGGGGAAACAGTACTTCATAGTAAAACAGAGCACACTGACAACAAACAAACAAACAAACAAACAAAAAACAGCCCAAAATTTTAAAATAGCAATATAGAATAGAGCAAGGTATTGTACACACCTATAATCCCAGCACTCAGGAGGCTGAAGGACAACTATGAGTTTGAGGCTAGCCTGGGCCACATGGTATGAGGCTAGCCTAGCCTGGGCCACATGGTGAGAATCTGTCTCTTCCCACCCCACCCCCCAAAAAAAAGAGCAGACAAAGGACATGCCAATTGTAGATTTGGGTTTTTGTTTTGTTTATTGTCATGTGCTAGACACTAGGGTCATAGGAATCACTAACACAAGATCACTCGGGGAACAGAGCACAATGAAAGAATTTAAAATTGTGTAATTTAAAAGCAAATACAGTAGCAGAGGCCAGCACTGAGAAACAGAAGCACAGGGCACAAATCTAGCTCAGTACTAAATAAGCATGGTGCCTGAGAGAGGCCTCACATAGTAAACAGGAGCACCTGGGAGAAGGGGGGGGGCATCACAAATAGAACTGGGGGCAGCCTGGAGGACATAGGCAGAGGCACACATCAAATGTGTCACCAAGAGTCAAGCAGTCGTGAAAGCAAAGGTCAGGGATTAAATCCCATGGCTTGGAGTTCAGCATGTGAAAAGCCCCTTTCTTCAACCTTTCAGATAGGCAACCACCTCTTAAGCAACACAGCTCTGCCCTGAAAGGGTTTAAATCAATGGTGTTCTGGAACTTCAAAGAAAACCTAGAAAATTCTCAGTGTTCAGCTCAAAGTCAGCTGTCCAGTCCCCCCAGCTTTCTTGTTCTGGTGACAGACAAGAGATTTAACCAAAAGCAGCCCATCTGTGACTTGAGAAATGTGACTTGGAAAACCGTGACAATCCACATCTTAGATATACTAAGTATCTCCAAGCACCACTTACTGACTCCGAGAATGAATGTCTTATAAATTATCTGCATGACACTCCTGTTCTATAGATTTCTCTCCTAAATGAATGGAAGTCTCACTCAAGGAAAGATCCTCCTGGTGGACAATATCTGGGGGTGGGGTAAGATCTTTTCCATGTTGACTGTACTTGTAGAGCTTCTCTTCAGTATGCATCTTCTGGTGCTGAAGGAAATTGGACCTCTGTATAAAGCCTTTCCCGCAGTAACTGCACACATAAGGCTTCTCTCCAGTATGGACAATTTGATGTAGCAACAGCTTAGAGCTCTGGATGAAGGCTTTCCCACAGTCTTTGCACTCAAAGGGTCTGTCTCCAGTATGGATCTTCTGATGCTCAGTGAGGTGGGCCTTCTGCAGAAAAGCCTTGCCACATTCTTTACATTCATATACCCGCTCACCAGTGTGGATTTTCTGGTGTCGTATAAGGTATGAACTCAGAAAGAAGGCTTTCCCACACTCATTACACTCATAGAGCTTTTCCCCTGTATGGATTCTCTGATGCTGAGTGAAGTTGGATGTCTGACTAAAACGCTTCCCACACTCATTGCAGACATAAGGCCGTTCTCCAGTATGAATTCTCTGATGCTGAATGAGCTTTGAGCTTCGAATAAAGGCCTTCCCACACTCATGACATTCAAAGGGTCTCTCTCCAGTGTGAATTCTCTGGTGCTCAATGAGATCTGAACGGTGTCGGAAGGCTTTCCCACAGTCTCTGCATTCATACTGTTTTACCTCTGTGTGGATCTGGTAATGCCGAATAAGGCTTGAGCTCCGAATGAAAGATTTTCCACACTCATTACACTCATAGGGTCTCTCTCCTGTGTGAATTCTTTGATGGCGAATAAGTAAGGAGCTCTGACTAAAGCCTTTCCCACACTCTTTGCATTCAAAAGGCCTCTCTCTGGTATGTACCCTCTGGTGCCGAAGCAGGTCTGAACTGTGACAAAATGCTTTTCCACACTGTGCACACTTGAATGGCTTTTCTTCTGTATGTACATGTTGATGTTCAACTAGGTTTGTATAGTGAATAAAGTCTTTCCCACACACATTGCATATACAGAGTCTGTCCCCAGTGTGGCCTCTTTGATGTTCAGTGAGGAGGGAGTTCTGACTGAAGTCTTTGCCACAGTGATCACACTGATAAGGCTTCTCCCCTGTATGAGAAATCTGATGTGGGACCACATTTGAATTAAACGGGAAGCTTTTGCCATCAATACCACAAGAATGGGCCTGCCCTTCTATAAGTTCTCTTTGAAGTATAAGAAGATTTGAGTTAAGAGTAGGACTCCTTCCTGACTTACTACACATCTGGGCAGTTTCTCCTGTTTGAATTTTCCAGTGGGTCACTGTCAACTGTTTGAGGCTCCCCTCCTGAGAGGGGGGACTCTCTAGGATCTTCCTTTCTGGATTCCCCAACAGCTGCACTAATCTGTCTTCATGAAATTCCCCGGGCTCAGAGATGGTGGCCTCCAGCACTGTGAGTTTGTCTGACATCATATTATGTGAATTTTCATCCCCAGAAATTCAGGCTTCAAGATCACCTTCTTGTCCCCAGCACCTATAGTAGACTGTAAAACAAGAAAAAAAGATGGTCTGTCCCTGCTCGACAGGCAGAAGGTATAAAACTAAACTCCCATACAAGTGAGAGAGGAAGCATCTCCTCTGCCCAGACTTTGGACCCTTCACTGTTACCAACTTTCCCCTTGCCCCAACCGTCAACATGGGAAGGCTTCTTGGGGCTCCACCTCTCATACATCCAACCCCAAGACAAACAAGACTGTGCTGTCTAAACAGCACTAATCTAACTTGGGACCTGTGTGGGACACAAGAGAGGTAGGGATATAGGCAGGGCTCTACTTAATTACAGACATGTAATTCCAAACACCACACAAATAAAATCTATCAGTCCCACTAATTTCCACCCTCATGGCTATCTTGTCCCTAGCCAGTGTGCATCGCATGGTCCACAGTACTGCACCCACTTTAGGCTATCTGTAGCACGCCGGGCTTCAGTGCCAGCAGCAGGGTAGCATTTCTGACCTACAGAGACTGACCTTGACGCCAAGAACCCAGTTAGGATCTCCATACTTCCAATCTTTCACTCTTTTGGTGACCTTATAACCTAGTCCCCTCAACGAAATCCCTTGGTGATTGGAATGGCTCCAGTGGTCCTGTTCAGAGCCTCACTGAACAATTCTCAACACTTTATATACTTAGCCCTATAAATCTAAGAATTAGCCCATCTCAGCTAAAAAATAGAAATTAACAACAAAAATCCTACATCTGTACTGAACATGTACACACTTTTTTTTTTTTTAAATGCCATTGCTCCTTGAAAACAGCATACTTAACTAGCTGTCACAATGTATTAGGTATAACATTATACTTTTTTTAAAGGCAGGGTCTCACCATATGGTACTGGCTGAGCTAGAACTCACTATATGGAACAAGCTTGCCTCACACTCACAGAGACCCACCTGCTTCTACCTCCCCAGTGGTGAGAGTAAAAGTACTGGGAACTCACAACATTTTGGGGAAGAGACTCAAGTAATTGCAGAGTGAAGAAAGGTATATAATCCTCTTTATGCAACTCAACGCCCTTTTCTTCCTATCACCTTGTATGAGCCCCAGCTGTGGCTAGATTTAGCCTGTTCTGGATCTGTCTGAACCACTTGCTGGCCAACTGCTCTCTACATCTACAGCTCTGATGCCCAAAGGACTGTCACCCAACTCCCCTTCTTCTTCTTCTTTTTTTTTTTTTTTTTTTTTTTTTTTTTTTTTTTTTTTGTTTTTTGTTTTTGAGATGGGTCTCACTCTGAAGCTGTCTGTCCTGGAACTTGCTCTGGCTTCAAACTCAGAAATGTACCTGCTTCTGCCTCCCAGATGCCAGAATTAAAGGTGTGCATCACTGCCTGGCCACCCTGTTCTTCTTTTTAAAAATTCAACAGTGGGGCTCTAGAGATGGCTCAGCAATTAAGTGTCCTTGCTGTTCTTGCAGAGGACCCAGATTCAGTTCCCAGCACACACAATGGCAGCTCAAAACTGTCTGTAACTTCAGTTCCAGGGGATCTGATACTGTTTTCTGAATTCTGTGGGCACCAGGCCCACGTGTGGTACACATACACACATACAGGTAAAGCATTCATACACATGAATTAAATATTTAAAATGTCTAGCACTAAAATTCTATCCCTTAGCTGCTGTGGGATAGATAATCCTTCTGTATGCTGTGAAAATGTATTACTCTCAATGGCTGATAATAAAGCTGAATTGGCCTATAGCAAGGCAGAATAAGGCTAGGCAGGAAAGCCAAACTGAAAATACAGAGAGGAAGAAAGACAGAGTTAGAGAGATGCAAGCAGCCACTGGTGAAGCAAAATGCAAGAGGACAGGCAAAGCCATGACACATGTGGCAAAATATAGATTAATACAGATGGGTTAACTTAAGTTAAAAGAACTAATTAGTAATAAGCCTGAGCTATAGGCTGAGCATTCTGCAATTAATAGAAGCTTTTGTACATTTATTTGGGACTGAGCAGTTGGCATAAAAGAAAATCTCCACCTCTGTTTATACTTAGCCCTTGCTTCAATAAGAAAGCAAAGGCAGTAAGACATGAATGTCCATTCCATTACCTGTGTTTACCTCTCTCCTGTTTCATGAGTCAAGCTGTATTTGACTTGAGGGAAGGGTCTCACCTCCCCCTGCTCTAGACTCTCTCCCATTCCATCTCATCCAGCCATCATTCCCTGCCTCTTGAGATGGAAGCTTCTCTGCCTCTCTAGCCTGCCATTCCAAGCAACATACAGCAATGCTAGCTCTTCCATCCACTTAACTGGGGAAAGAATTGCCAGATTTGACATAGTAGGGAACAAGAGGGCCTTGGCATCTTCTAGGTAGAGTATCAAAATCTCATTCAAAAGCTAAATGGCACACACACACCTAGTCTCTGAGATTCTTAAAGCTGAAACACTTCAGATGATTAACTACTCTGGGGAAACACAGCAACATCCTATCTCAAAGAACAAGAATACGAACCTAAATTCCTGGACTCTATTTCCTCTCCAGCTACTACCCTACCTCTCCTTTATAGTGACACTCAATGGACACTGAGTTTATTTATTTATTTATTTATTTTTTGCATCTCCTTTGCTTTCTTAAGTACACAATAGTCTACTACATCACCAAACTATGGCCACTTACTCAACTCCACTTCTGCCAGTACCTGACACCCACTGACTTACTCATGGAGTCATCTTGTCACAGTACTCCCAGGACAGCCTCTACTAGTTTTCTCTCTCAGCAACCACCTCTTCCCAGTGTTCAGTGATGACAATGGAGCCTTGCCATGATCCAGGCAAGACTGCCCTTCATCTCTACTGACCTAGCTCAGCAGAGAGATGCTATCTGCTGCTGAAAATGCCTTTTCCTCCTGCAACTGGGCTCTTTCCCAACTTCCACATTTGACTATCTTTCAACCTGATGTCTTCACGGGTTTTCAAACCTCAGGTGTTGACCTTCTGACTTCTGCTAAATCTGTCCCTTATATACTGAGATCTCCATCAACTTGTATTTGTTCAGGCCAGAACTGTGCAATAGTCCTAGATTCCCTTTACTTTTTATTCATTCCCCACATCTAATCCACCAACACACCTGTAGGCCAGGCCCTGATCCTGTCTCAAAACCCCACTGCCATCCTCTACTATTATTCTTAACACACAAGGGTGACAATCTTCTAAACTCTATTGCTTTTCTACAGAGCCAGCAGGATGACTTTCTGATGGGAGATGTCATTCTGTATATGTTTCTCATACTGGTTAATAATAAAACACTGTTGGCCAATAGGAAAGGAAGATAGGAGGGACTAGGAGACAAGGAGGAAATAGAAAGTAGTAAGGAGGAGTCAAGATGGAGAGTCTAGAGAGAACAGTATGCGGCCACAGGCTCCCGGTAAAAAAAACGCGTGGACATACATAGATTAACACAAATGGGTTAATAACTAAGACAGAGCTAGCCAATAAAAAACTAGTACCTGGCCAATAGCATTGTATCAAATACAGAGTCTCTGTGTGTTATTTGGGGCTGGCGCAGTGGCAGGACAAGACCGGGCGGCAGCAGGCGAAAAAACCGAACTCGATACAGATGGCGCCCAACGTGGCTAGTAAAAACTTACATACACTTAAAATTTAATAAAAGCTTAAAAAAAAGGGTTTTAAAAACAAAAAAACAAAGACAAACAAAGTTTCTTGCTACAACATTTTTCTCAGTTAAACTCTTTGCTAGAGACAAGCAGATATTCTCGCGGCTCCTTTAAGGAAAGATTCCTTACTTTGAATAAGCGGGGAAAAAAACACACAGCTTTTAAATAACTCTGCTAACAATTTATTGGTGTGTATGAGAGATGGCAATGGCAGTGACCACATCTCCAAGCCGGCAGCATGCTTTCTGGCGTGACTCGGACAGGAGAGAATCGGGTTAAATTTCCTGGTGTTCATCTGTCTAGGTTGTAAGTTATTTCTCCCTAAATAAACATCTATTCGGCTTATTTGTTTATCCTGATCCTTATTTACCGCAATAACTTTCTATTTAAAAACCTTCAAGACTCTCCTATCCCCCTACAACCAGCATTTTCTCCAAGTAGGCAGATGAATTAGCAGGAACACTTGAGTCACTTACTAGGCATTTGAGGCCAACTTTTCCTACCACTTCTTCTAAGAGCCAGCTATTTCCAGGGGCCACTGCTCTACTCTGCTTCCCAAAAGCTTCAAGCTTCAGAACTACTGAAACTACAGCAAAGCAGTGCTGCCAGTCTGCTGTGCCAGAGTCTAACTGGCACCCAGTCAGCCATGGTGCATCATGACACATGTTTGTCACAGAGTAAATGGCTGCACTACTTACAGAGTGGAAATAGACTAGAAGAGAAAGTAAATCAGAAGATCACTAGCCCAGTCAGGAGGGAAGTAAAGGTTCAAATTCAGACATGTCACCCACAGAGTCCATTTCCTGCTTTGGGAGACTTTATCCTTTGTTTTACCCTGTAAAATATGTTGGTTTTACAGGGTATTTTGCTTAGGGATAGTCAGGATTAGTACTAAGAGAAATTTGCATGTTGAAACTTAATGTCTGAAAAAAAGGGTAAAATGGACAGGTGGTTTCTTGTCATAGAAATCACTGATACCAACAGGGCATTGGTAGCACACACCTTTAATCCCAGCACTCGGGAGGCAGAGGAAGGCAGATCTCTGTGAGTTCGAGGCCAGCCTGGTCTACAGAGCAAGTTCCAGGACAGCCTCCAAAGCTACACAGGGAAATCCTGTTTCGGAAAAAAAAAAAAAAAAAAAAAGAAAAAGAAAAAATAAATCATGGATACCATCTGATTTTAACTATTTTATGTAGCACTAAGGATTTTATGCATTATGTAGAATTTAGGGTATTATGCATGTTAGACAAGTAAGTACCCTACCAATGACCTACACCTCCGCCCCTGATACCATACTTAAAATGACTATGCTACCTGGAAACAAGCCTGCATCTGTTTACAAGAACAGCTTAAAAACATTTGTGCCTCTTGGTGACTTTCAAAAGTTCGATTTTTTTTGTTTTTTTGTTTTTGTTTTTGTTTTTGTTTTTTGAGACAGGCCTAGCTGTCCTAGAACTAGCTCTGTAGACCAGGCTGGCTTCGAACTCACAGAGATCTGACTGCTTCTGCCTCCCAAGCTCTGGGATTAAAGGTGTGTACCACCACGTCCAGCTTATAAATTCTTGTTTTAAGAGAAGTTTCTTAAATAAAATATATCTGCTAGAAGAAATGTTCATCTCAAAATCATCAAATTGGGGGCTAGAGAGATGGCTTAGCAGTTAAGAGCACTGGCTACTCTTCCAGAGGACCTGGGTTCAATTCACAACAGTTTATAACTCTGTAGTTCCAGGGGATCCAATGCCCTCTTCTGGCTTCTGAGGGCACTGGTACACAGACAATGGACAGACTTATATACAGATAAAACACCCATCCACATAAAATAAAATAGGAGTAGGAAAGCTTGCATAGATTCAGCCTTTGGAATAACCAGTCAAGTGGACCTCAACAC